AAATTCGAATACCCGTCTCTCTTTTACTGCGCCAATCTCCTTTTTACACAACGCAGTTCTTATTCTCTTAAGTTTCCAAATTGATGTTCCTAAGGGACGAACGGCCAAGGACAAGAGACGCATATTTCTGAGGGGCGGACCTAAAATCCAGGGACTACAAAGATTGACAGACAGATGTCAGGATGTAATACGCACCAGTTTAGTGGCTATTTCTGGCTACATCGAAAGAGCATGAGACGAAAAACATTTGGTGTCGTATTTTCATTTTATGACAGTATAAGCCATTTTTTTTAAAGGGATTTTTGTGGATTAACAAATTAATAACTTCTTATTGAACCAAAAGAAGGACGTTATCCAATTATGAATAAGATTTTAGATTTGTTGTTTATAAACAACTTAAAATCGTGAACGAGAATAAACAATAATGGTTGAATGATATTTCCATCACGTTACGATATGTTCTCTTGGTTAACTTTATTGAAATAGATTGGACATTTTTGTTGTCTCAAATAGCCCGAATGGTAGATCAACAGGCACGTAAAAAATTCAATAGTAGAATGAAACGACAAGACTAGTGGGAAATAATGTGCTCTTATTGATAGAATAAGCAAAATATTTTTATTATAATGTCTTATTACATCAAAAAGACCATAAACATTACTTAGGTTTTATCATTATTATTGTTTGTATTACGTTTGGAAAAGTGCTTTTATGTTTGGTAATGGTAACTATATGAACTTTCCGTTTCTCATTCAAACGTGTAAAAAAAAAAAAGCTGGTTCACCAATCTAATAGTTCAATGGGTTCCACGATGGCCGATAGCAGCTCATTGGTTAATGTGTCGGACTGTGGATCTGGGTGTTCGTGGTTCGTGTCCCGTTACCGTCAAATACAAAAATCACCCACTATATTTTAGAGCCCTGGGTGAGTTATAAAAGTGACGGTCAGATCAAACTATTCGATCTGTCAGTGGGTAGTGTTGACTAGCTGTTTTCTCTCTGGTCTATAATTTCATAGCTCTCGGGTAGATTTGCGCCAAATTCCACAAACAACAACAACATCCTTGTCAAGAAGTGGGTAAACGTCATAATCCCCAAACCAGAAATTACTCTTGACTAACACTTGGAATAATCATCGACCAACTGAGGCTTAACAATTTCAAATAGTACATTTTACAGGAAAGAAATTAATGCTTAAAAAGTTAGGTTGCTTCGTTCAAAGGTAAACTATTATGTTTTATATAAAACTAATTAGCAATATTCAAGAGCTTAAATTTTCAGTTTTAATCTTAGTTAGTTGTAGACATATTTGACGTCTTATAACGGTTAGTGAAAGAACAACAACCAAAAAACGCGTAACTTTCAATTCCAGAATGTATATCGTTTGCAAGATAATATTTTCTTACTTAGTTTGTATAGATCGTTAAAAAGTTACCCAAAAGAAGAAGCCATATATTTACATTATGTTTATAAAATTAATTCTTTTAGTTAAGAGCCATATTTTTTTTTGTAATGTAAACGACGCTCCAGTTTCCTCCAAAATCCTATGAAATATTCTACACTATGTTAAAACAAAACTTGTGGATTTCTCTATTTTTAAAAGGATCGTTTTCATTATTATTATTTTTTGCATTTATGGCAAAACAACTTATGCTATCTGCCGCTGTCCTTAATTTTGAACTACTGACCAGAGAGAATGAAGCCATCAGCAGTACTCTACCAAACACACTAAGGATTGACTATCCTTCTTATAACGCACCCACAGCTTAAAGTGTGGGGAATATTTAGTGGTATCGCACGAATTCGAACTCGCTAGCTGTGAAATATAACGCTCTACCACAGGACTGACTATTGTTCCTTTAAAAGACAACAAATTTAATTTGTAGTTGTTAAATGTAATTTTACGAAATTAAAAAATATATATTTTACTTTATTGACATATTTTATCCGTGTCACATGGAAATCAGAAAAACCTCAAAAAAAAAAAGATGTAAATCAATTGAGGTTTAGAAGTGTAAATGTCTAGAAAATATTCGTCTCATGTAAACTCGTCATACAGTCAGCCGCATTACTGAAAATACCACTGTAACGATTTGATTGGTGAAACTGACAAACTTCGAGTAAATGGAATCTGTTGTGACATAATATTGACACGTGGGCGAGAAATACGAGAACTAGTCTAACAATGCAGTTGGTGATAAAAAGAAATTAGCATTCAATAAAATTCGTTGTCGACCTTTGGTGCCCTTATGATGGTGAACTGTACAGTCACCGAAACGTTGGAAAATGAAAAATAGTTAGGCACACGATTGGTGTTAATAAGAAAAATTATGAAATAATTTACACCGACCAATTACAAATCTGGAAAAAAGTATTGTCTACTCTGTTTTATACTTAGCAGTGTTTTGTAACAGTTAGTGAGACATGCACCCTTTGACTTTTATTAAGTTTGTTGTAGATCAAATGATTAAGGATACTAAGCGAGTGCCCGTGTGCTCTTTTGATAAGTGAAAAAAACAACAAAAAAACTGGGTAATAAAATGTTGTTGTCTAGTTATATGCAGCGAAAATTGCTATCAGGAGTTGTTGGTTGACTTGCAAAAAATAGTTCTGTACAACACCAACCATTTCGACAGCGGTTATGTTGAATAATGTAGCAGCCTGACGTCTGGCCGAATTATTCTTACCATCTTCATCAATCTTGTTTTCAAGCGTCGGTTTAAATGGAACAACACTTGTATCTTCTCCCCAGAGCTACCCACCCCCAATAGGTGAACGGTAACTTTACGGGGTTATAATCCTAAAATCCGGGGTTCTATTTCCCTCGGTGAACAGAGCATAGAAAATCAATCGTGTAGCTTTGCATTAAAAATATAACTTTTAAAAATTAGCCAATAATTTTTAGTATCATGTTTTCTTCTGCCCCACACGGTAATATCCATCGGGCAGTTTAGTACATTTAGAAAGTAGTTAGAAACATTTTACTTGTAATAATATATTCCATACAACCATTAGGCTTTGAGAACACTCTAAACAAGTGAATAGTGAAAATATATATTAATGAAGTCATAATTTGATATTCATAAAAAAAGTAGCTTTTTTTTTCCGTTGGCAATCTATAAGTAATTTCAGGTTCAAACCCTACTATAACGCTTCTTTAAGTAATAAAATATGATTTTATAATCAAATCATCGAAACTATTATGATTGCTTATTCAACTTATAGATTTTGTGCAAAGAAAGCTTTTTTTCTCGAATATATTCACTGTAAAATTTGTTTTTGAGTGTTTCAAAAACTTTACCATTGAATTCACAAAAAAACATACATACACACATAACAGAACGTATTTTATCATAGCTATGTATGTATGTTTTAACACAACTGCCTTAACATTAATCCATGTTCTACCTACCATATACTGTCAGTGTTGCAGGCTCGCTTAGCCGCTGATTAGCCTCGTTTTTAGCACCACAAGTGTAGTTTCCCATATCTGCTAATCGCACTTGACTGATCAACAGGTTTCCTTCGTTCGAGATTATAAAGTTCGTTTCCTTGCTGGTATCAATTATCTCGCCGTTTCGTAACCAAAAGATTTTGGGCGGAGGAACGCCTTCTGGTGGTAAACACTGGAGTGAGATCTGGCCTTTGATTTCAACACTGGTGCTCAAAGGTTGATTGAAGAAATGTTTCTTCAGGTCTGGGTAAAAAATGACCAAGAGTGCGATGTAGGGAGAATTTAGAGAATGTTCACACTATCTGATAATAAATGATACACGGAAATGTCGAGTATTTGCCATAAAGAAACTGTTTTAAACATTTAATATGGTTGTAACTGTATAAACATTTAATGTTTTTTAATATTCTACATGAAGGAGGAGTCTAGGGGTAATTTTGATAAGTATATTCATTAAAATATTCCTTGTTATTTAAATAGTTCATTTGTTAATAGGTGAGAGAAAAAGGCAGATAGCTTATAGAGACACTACCGAAAGATGCACCCTTTAATACCAGCAAGGAAAGACGAACAAGAGGTTTTTTTATTTTCTTTTTTTTAGGATGAAGTATTATAATAAAAGATAAGGAAAAAACAAGAAACAATGGAAAAGTCGAAGGAGCTATGATTATAGACGAGTCGAAAAGAAAAGAAATATTTGAGTTTATTTTAAGTACAGCACGAAAAAGTGATTTTTTTATGCATGTAATTACTTACTGCAAACGATAGTTAGTTTGAAGATAAGGTAAAGCCTGTTTATGAAAATTACAGTTCAAAACATTCGTATCGATTCTCACAAACCAAATAAAAAAAAAGTTTATTTAATCGACACACGTAGTATTTTGTTCTTCACGGTTAGTTATACTTGAAAATATTTCAGCACTGTATGTTCCTTATTTTAAAATATACCCAAATCATATACCATAAAGTTTAAAATACGCTGTTTTTTCAAGCAGTGCAAAACTTTGTTTTTCACGCTGACACAAACATACACGTGTATATTATATCGTACAAGAAATATACTTTATTCATCTGAGCAAGCCATCCAGAATCTGTCAATACATTATTTTCATCTTCAGCCCAATAGATAGTTTAATTATTGAAATATTAGTTATATTTCTTTTGCTAGAAAAAGATCATAGAAACGTGAAAATATCTGAAGTAAAGAGATGTATTTTAAGGATTACTTCATTTATAATTTATAACGATCTTGTTAGAAGAGAGGTGTTAATCTTGTTCCGAGTTTACTGAATGAAACAAACTACCAGAGAGACGAGTTACTTCACAAACAAACTACCAGAGAGACGAATTACTTCACAAACAAACTACCAGAGAGACGATTTACCTCACAAACAAACTACCAGAGAGACGATTTACCTCACAAACAAATTTCCAGAGAGACGAGTTATATCACAAACAAACTATCAGAGAGACGAGATACTTTACAAACAAACCACCAGTGAGACGAGTTACTCCACAAACAAACTACCAGAGAGACGAGTTAATTCACAAACAAACTTTCATAGAGACGAGTTAATTCACAAACAAACTTTCATAGAGACGAGTTACTTCACAAACAAACTACCAGAGAGACAGTGCTAATTTACAAGTTTCGCGCTCTCATTCATCAAAGTGAAACACACTATCTAACTTTACACACATTTTCAAGCACTTATTTTGGAATTAGAATATCATTGAGGTATTTTCAGCTAAAACTCTCAGAAACCACTAAAATCTCCCTAAATCTTTTACAAGGATGGTATATATATATATATATATATACACACACACACAACATACATACACATATATATGCTGGTTACTTTATAAGAGTATGATCAGGAAGTAAACCCAGCTTTAAATAAGATTTAACTCTAGGAGTAGTTGGGATTCATTTCATGTTTTACGCGTCTCGAATAAACCTTATTATCTTGCATATATATGAATGTTATTACGAATACATTAAAACAACCCTTAGTGCATCTGCATACGAATGTTTAAATTATAAAGATAAATATATTTAGTATACATATATACGTGATTAACATAGGATTAGTTAAAATAGTTAGTGAAATACAGCAAATTATGTGGAGATAATATTTTAAATATCATATATTTATCTTTCGGGCGTCAGGCGTGGCCTAGAAGTTTAGCGAGCTACATTGTGAATCTGAGGACCCATGAATCGAAAAAAAAAAAAAACGTACTCCGCACTTTGTAGCCGTGGGTGCGTTATAAGATTGACGATCAACTTCCACTATTCAATTAGTATAGACCAATAGATGGCGGTTGGTACTGTTGACTGGATTCATTTTCTCTAATCTATTAGTTCTAGAATTGTGAACGGCCAGCAAAGATAGCCTTAGTGTAGCTTTGCGTTAATATTCGAAACAAACAACGGAATCGTATCTTTCGGTGTATAAACTTACAACGTGTCACTAGAAGAATATGTGAAAATTCTTTATGGCTGAAATCTTATTTTCTTTCTGTTATATTGTATATTATCTTGACATGTGATCTTCTAATCCAAAGATCTCTCATATTTTTAGCTGTGGTATAGCGGCTCATAAAATGGCCCCGAGAAACGTCAAATATTTAGCTCATAGCACTGTCATCGCTTGACCAATTTGAGATCTAATTACAGTTTTGGATTCAGGAGGTCAAATCCTTTCGATTAATATATTTTACTGTGCCCAAGGTCTCGTAGATTAATTTACCCTAATCCTGCCTAAAAGAATTTCAATTTGAGGGTAGGCTGGTATTGATCTTGATGTGTAATAAAATCGAATTTAGTATACGCGCGCCCAACGCTTGGTATTGCTGTCGCACAAAAATATAGCTAATAAAAAGGGGGAAATGTCTCATAGATTAATTTACTCCAATCCTTCCTAAATGAATTTCAAGTGGCGCGGCTATTGAGGATTCCCTCTTGTTTATACAGTACGCAGTAAAAGTATCAAATGATGAATTATACGCTTTCCCACTTCAGTTAGTAATTCTCCAACACCAGTAATTTTTATCTCGCCACAGCAGAAGCGTTTTCACGAAATTCTTGCTTTTTTTCTAAAAGTAACTACAAACTGTGCGATCCTAAAAACTTTTAAGCAAAGTCTAATTTATCCTAGACATTCCTTATTGCTGGTACTAGAAAACATGAAAATATCTGAAAAATTTAATTTAAGAAAAATCAAGGACAAATATAAAAATATATATATAAGCTACACAACAGTAACCACCTGATGTAAGTACGAGCCTCAGGGTGTCCTATCTGTTCACAGTAACAAGCCAGCCCGTCTGTACGCATCCATAAGAATGAATGTAAATGTAAGCACCTGTTTTAAAAACCAATGGGGCCATAAAATGCTTTCAAGTCGGCACTCAACGAGAAGAATGAGTAACTAGAATGATCTCATCGTAAATTTGATGACCTAAGTCTGTGGACGTGAATTTTCAATTCCTGATATATTAGTGTCTATAAGCGTACTAACGTAAAGAATTCTAAAAGAAACAGTTACCGCATTATTAAGTACTATAACGCAAGCAAGCAAAAAAATAAAAAATAAAGTTTTATTTATGATTTTTCTTCTTCTAGAATTTGTGCGACAAAATACGATTTGTTTAATACTGAAGCAGTATCGTTTCGATTTTCTTGACTTACTGATAATGTTTGTTAGGATTACAGCGAATTATTGTATAATCGTTTGTTGTTGTTGTATTTCGTGCAAAGGTACATGAAGGCTATCTGCAGATAGCCGTCCCTAATTTTGAACCGATGGACTTAAGAGAAAAGGTAGCTAGTCAACAAGACCCATCGCCAACTCATGAACTACTTTTGTCTGATCTAATAGTATGATTTGACTGTCACTCATATAACGCAGCCTGTGACTCCAAATTGCGGAGCCAATATTTGTGGCAACGAGTCGCAAACTACGGATGCTGGTCTGGATTCAAAGTCTGAGCATACTAACAACTAGGCCTTTATTTCGATAAAGATACTGGAGTCTGTTCAGTTTATAAGCCAGATCTTTCACTCAGATTTATTTTATCCTCACGATTGTGTATGTTTCACTGAGAAATAATTAGACCACATTAGATAACTGTAGTTCTTTTTGCATTATTACTATAGATTCACTCCATCTAGATCAGCGATCAAGAATGTTCTAGTTCTTTTAGCAATATTACTCTAGCTGGCCCGGCATGGCCAGGTGGTTAGGGCACTCGACTCGTAATCCCCGTCACACCAAACATGCTCGCCCTTTCAGCCGTGGGGGCGTTATAATGTGCGGTCAATCACACTATTCGTTGGTAAAAGAGTAACCCAAGAGTTGGCGGTGGGTGGAGGATCTAAATGGAGTGAAGCTAGAGTAATTGTTTGTTTTTTAATTTCGCTACACGAGGGCTATCTGCGCTAGCCGTCCCTAATTTAGCAGTGTAAGACTAGAGGGAAGGCAGCTAGTCATCACCAGGCTAGCTAGATCCATCATAAAACAGAAATATTTTATACTTTAAGGTTTGGAAGTTTTGTTTGTGTGAAATTGTTTAGGTACATTTGTTTTATATTTTGTTGCTTTCTTGTAGAACATTGTTAATAGAGTATCTAAATGGAGTGAAGCTAGAGTAATTGTTTGTTTGTTTGTTTTAATTTTGCTACACGAGGGCTATCTGCGCTAGCCGTCCCTAGCAATGTAAGACTAGAGGGAAGGCAGCTAGTCATCACCACCCACCGCCAACTTTTGGTTTACTCTTTTACCAACGAATAGTGGGATTGACCGTCACATTATAACGCCCCCGCGGCTGAAAGGGCGAGCATGTTTTATTTGACACTTTACTTTTAACTCCAATATTAGCTGATTTGTGTATGTGTGTGGCGATAAAGTCCCTAGCAGAGAGTTGCTTTACAAAACATAAGATCGTTGTAAGAATAAAACATTCCATCATAAAACAGAAATATTTTATACTTTAAGGTTTGGAAGTTTTGTTTGTATGAAATTGTTTAGGTACATTTGTTTTATATTTTGTTGCTTTCTTGTAGAACATTGTTAATCATAAGTGCGCGCGAATCTTAATTTGTCATTATAAGGATTTGATCATCCAGTGTGATGTTTCACATTTCAAGTTGTCCAGCCTCAAAGTGAAAAAAAATCCGAGAGAGAAGTAGCTTAAATTTATGTTTATAAACAAGCATTAACCAAAAATAGTCATAT